TACCGCCCACAGAAACTCAGTCCTTACAAATTTCATGTCTGCCAAAAAATTACACACGTTTTATGTTACATAGTTTTGTATTGGGTCGATGGTGGCCGTAAAATGTGACCACCTTGACGAATCTCTTTTTTTGTTTGTGAGCCTCCCTATAAAGTGCAAAAACGCAAGCGTTAGCACATCCTTGCTATTTCGAAGCATGTGTTGCATCTTGTGTGAAAACCGCACCGTCAATAATTAAAAAGTGACTGGGTTATGTGCACTCGACGAGGGAGAAAATAGGAGAAACACACACCCATCGCTGGGATAACACACACGGGGCTGGATGACGTGGGTGCCATAGCCGCGGCGTCAACTAAGGCGAGCGGGTGCGAGGCGGGCCCAGCGCTGAGCTCACCAGCGAGCCAAGCACTACACTTTCCAGAGCATTCTATCTCCATATTGCGAGCGCAGCGAACCGCGGGGGCGCCGAAGGGGCGCCCAGCCAAGCGAAGCGCGGCTGGTCCCTTTTCTGCTGTGACCTCTTATCGTCGATTATGTCTTATTGCGACACTCAGAAAGGTCAAAACCATACAGAAGTCAAGTCAAATTATTTGCTGTGTGCTGACACAGTAAATACATGTGTTTGGCATGTTCTGTCTCGACGAGGTGGTCGTATAATTGTGTCCAGGAGTGTAGAATTAAACTGAAGCATCACAGCGATCTCGAAGTGGAAATCAACGTTGACAAGTGTATTCGCGGATGAGTAGCATGCGATGCTCTGCTTGTCACTCGTGGCACGAGGCACTAGCTAGCCGTGAATATTGCATCTACTTCTTTTCGTAGCGTACCAGTGTTATTCTACGCGTGGACGGCGGAGCGCAGATCTCTACCTAGGTTGTACAACATGTGCATGACTAACACCGCCTGGGCCGGCGTATCCCGTCAGTCTCTTGAGTGGAGCATGCTCTCAAGCGGACCGCACTCTCAAGTCGTTATCTAGGTGATCTGCGTCACATCCTATCGCCAAGACCTGCGCTAGATGTGGCCGGCCAGCAATGTGCGCAGCTCTCCACATACGGCAAGCCTGAGATGAAATGAGGCTCGGTGCGGAATGCAAGACGTAACGAGGAAGCCGTGGTATTAAATGAACATCGACGTATTGCTAAAATACTCTCCTCGCTAGTAGTGTCCAGGGTTGTACGTCACTTTAGAGACGAAGGTTTTCAGATCATCAAATTATCGGTATCGCGCGGCTCAATCCAGAAGTTGAGTACACTCAGCGTTGTTCGCTGTCGCGAGTTAACTCCGCGGTATAGGTGCGGCCGTGCACCCCTCGAGAGCACTTAAAGTGTCGGTGCTCTATGAATGAAGCGATCGCCAGCTCTGATACACGATTGAGTACTTGTAAGAGCTCGGGAAGAAGGAGTGAACACTATCATTCACACTTTTGGTCGAAATGTGAGGTAGAGAGAATCAAACAGGTGAAATGCTAATACAACTCTTATGATGCTGTATTTAAACGACTCCTCTTCAATATCAATGCTTTCGGAAAAGCAGGTTGCCATAATTTTTTTCCCGCTCTGCAGTAATATTCAGGTAGCTGCTGTCACTTTCGAGCGGTATTAGTACGTTCGATGGATTACTAGCACGGCATCATCACCTTGAAGTTACGGTATTGTGTAGCACCAATGAAATTTCTGTTTCGGCTCAGAAATGAGTACCGAGATAGAAGCACGCTGGTTCGGAACCATCATACCGCTTACCCAAAGTCTCGCTCGATCTGTGCTGACGATGTTGGAACAGTGAAGACAATACGAGCAACCGAAGGAAGAAATTGGAAGTTGCTTCTAGTCTGGCGACTCCAAAACGAAAGTGTATGTTCTGCTTCCTTCTTTTAGTCACGATTCATCACCTCCGGTTCAGTAATCCACCGTTTCAGCTCCTCCTCAACACGTGCTTCCTGAACATCCCTTGATGTAGCTTGAGCAACACCGTCATCGTCTTTAATGAAATTCATAAAGTCCTCTCGGAACGTTGAAGGCGTTTTTCCGCGGCGGGAGCCGGTGACACATCGACCTCAGGAGCACCTTCATGCGACAATATGAGCGACTTATGTCGGTCGAGAATTGTTTGCTTGACAAATGCAATTATTATTGTAACCTCGTCCTCTATCATTTATTTCGTCGAGTTAGTGGGGTCAATCGCTAGTTGCTGGTTGCACAGGCGAATCAATGAAGCGAGCACTCCATCAGGGCTCTTCAATTTAGGATGAAGCTACAACTGCATCCGACGACTTACACACTTTGGTGCGGTTGGTGTAGCGAGAAAAGCATCGCTCATGGAGCGCTTCGGCGAATGATGTTAAGTCTTCGCCAGACCGGTGTCAATTTGGAAACAGCGAAATATCGAGGTGGCTGACGATGCTTTGTTCTATAGTCCATTTGAGCGACTGAAGTATCAAGCACGTGCTGACGAAGCATGTACAAACTGAGCAGTACTTGAATCTGGTTTGCTGACTCGCTTTGAGCTCGACGGCTCAGCCCTGTGATAGGCTCTACGAGACACACCAGTTGAATCATTAAGTTTATCGGCTACTAAAGAGAAACCTCCCGGAGGCGCAAGTCCAGCCCGAAGTGACTTAGCAATACGCTAATCAAACAAACTACCAGCTGGTCCCACTTATCAAGAATTCGTAAGATTACTTTGATTAGGCCCATGAATCGAGGTGGCTTGAGTTCTACAAGGGTAAGGGACTTGCTTTCTCCGGTCATATCGCATAAGTCCGCAAACAGTGCGCCCATTATCTCTACGTGGTGTACTTAATAAACAGGCCTCCCGATTCGTGAAGTAAGCTCTGTCATTCTCTTGTTGTTTTTACTTGCTCTTGTCATTCACAATTTCACAAGCCGCTTTAGTCGCATCGCTCGTTAATTGCGGGATGCACCATTCCCACTGGTGTTTAAGTCCTTCTTGGATCATCCCCTTCACGTCAGCGCCTGCGTCACTTGTTCCACACAAGAAGTATTTGATTGAAAGTCCGAAGTCGAATAGAATTTGCTCTATCCACCGCTTGAAAGACCCACGAATACCCCCATTGCGCTGACCGTGAGAAGGACGAAATTGACGAGTTCCAAGCAAGAACGATCGGAAGCGCCGCTCGTTGTCAATAAAGTTTATACGCAGACAGAGATACCTTTCACTCTGCGGTTTTAATCACCACATGTCCACCACCATCGTAAGAAACTTGATGTTGGGCAGAATATTTTGAAGAACGTATTGAATCCCCCTACAATTCCACGATATCATGAGCTACGGTTTGCGTATTAATTATCGCTCGGTACCTCTCGTCGGTGACAAGCTCTCAACAGCTTCGATTCCTCGTACTCGCCGAGCCGGAATGGTAGATTGTTAAAGATAATGCGTAAAGTATCCATAAGTAAATACACCCGATGAGCATCGCCATGCTTCAGAGCAACATTGCGAAGTCTGTCCACTTCGCCATCGCGTGTGTGCACCTTGTAGTGTAGATTTGTCAGAGTTGATGCCATGGACGTCCTTCAAATGTGCTGTAACCTTTGACGTCTTTCCATATAGTTGTATGATCTGGTGGCGCTCTCGACAGCTTTTGTTCCCAAGACAGATCCACCCGATGCACGTTTCCCGTCCAATTTCACTGGCACACGGACACCCAATTGGAGAATAATAAACCGCTCAGCATCCTTGATGGGACTAGGGTAAATCCAGGTAGGGGCTGGTAGTTTTTATCGCATCTTGCACTGCGACGGGAGCTTCCACTAAGCTGAAGCTGAATGTGACCGGTTGTCGAAGTAGTTCAGCTGGCCACGATAGATCTCGGGGTGCATTGCCAGGTATGATAGACTGATTCGAGGTCTCATCAAGGTCCGCAGCAGATTGTTTCGTGGGAGGACGTTCTTACAAAGCTGACAATGGTACATGAAGTTGGGATTGACCACTTCTTGAGGTGTTCAGACTAAGCGGTGGACTTAGCTGTTGTAGAGTTGGCATTACGCGATCCTTAGTCGGGCGTGTTGCTACATAAGATGGCGTTTTAAAAGGATGCAGCAGTCGCCGGCGACTCTGGTCGGACCTGTACTGTCGTTGCCGCGAGCAAACCAGGATCTCAAGTTTCGGCTTAAGATCTCCCAGGTTTTCAAATAGTGAAGCCGTTATCAAACGAGCTTCAGACGGGTAAAAAAAGGCAGACCGCGGGAGGACTTTGGTAGCTGTCGGATGGTTGAAAAAAACATTATTTTCTGGGTTGCGGTCGATTCAAGCGAAGCTACTTCAAAGGCTAGCATTGCAGATCTTTGAGCATGTCTTAGGCTTCCCTTTCTCAAAGAATGCACATTCCGTATTACGCGCGTCCTTGGAGCTGTGCGGCTCTTACTGAAGTGTCGCCTGTCGCAGAACAAGATGGTATTGTCCATTAGAATGTTCGAGACTACCAAAGGGTTAGCGCTTCACCTTGAAGGCTCTTTCGTATATACGAAACGACAGTGGAACTTAAAATATCGGTAATACTGGCTCTAATTTAAATTTGAAACATCTTTGAAACGGTAGCTGGTTCCTAACCGGTAAGTTCATTTAAGGCGTGATACTCCCTATTTGAGTGGCGTAGCAGAACGAAATGCTGCATCTGTGCCAGAGTTGTACTCTCAAAAGTGCAATTATGGCCATTTTACCGTAAATCATCGTGGATCACGGTTTTATGAGCTCGCATTTTCGTAAATTCACCACCTGCTACTTATAAGCTAATCTTGTTTTGCCAAAATCACTACAAACCAAATAATAGTTAGCTATAAGTTATCTAAGAGGAAATCAGAAATACCAAGAGTTATTTCAAATGATAATGGTGTGGAATAAAAACCATCCTTTGTACTGTACATGTATTCTAAATGCTTCTTGGAAAATGTGGTCCTTGTTTTGTACGTGCTTCAATTACAAAATATAAAAAGCACGTTAATTCTTGTACCCAGTTTTCTCAGCATTCCCTTTTCCTGATGTCGTTGGACGAGTCGATGCAAAGCACAGAAAGCGGCTTGGTGCAGGTACAGTAAGCTACGCGCTAGCTCATCTCGACCATCTCTCGCTAACTTCGTGCTATTAATCCCTGGCTACTGAAGACGAACGAAGCTGCTCCGGCCAGCACGACTCAGATCGTGAGCCGCGTCGTGTACCCTCGTTTACTAGGCAATCTTCCGGGAGCAAACCTACCGCAGTATGCGCACGAAATGACTCGCGAAGATGAAGATACTATGAAGCAGAGCTGCTATCAGGACGGACACGGCTTCGTCCAATACGCCCTTGTAGCGTGGATAATGATCGAGTACAAACACGATCCAATTGTTTCATTTCCTGTTGCTAGCAAGGTCGCCAAAGAAACCGCTGAAGAAGTCAAGGCCGCGATAAGTGCAGTGATCAATCCATCGCTAAAAACAACACACAACTTAGAGCTGTGGGACCTACTGGAGGTTGCATTTACGCAACTCCAGTATCGTGGAAACGCGCACATATTATTTCGCCAATACGTCGAGCGGTGCTGGAAGCAATACACAGGACACCCAGGTGACTATAAGGCGCCGTATGTGTCAATCGTACAGAGCTCCGGATTTGGTAAAAGTCGGCTATTACGGGAGCTGTCTTTGCTTACGAGTGCTGAGCTTCATGGAACGATGCGGGTGCTCTACACTTGTACGCGGGTGGGTCAGTCGAGTGGGTTTCCAGAAGCGACGAAAGGGTTCCGAAATTGGCTTTTTGGTGATTACCAGACTCTTGTGGGGATGACGTCGTGTCTGGAGACAATATTCTACTACGCTCAACAGAATTGGGCGAGTGTCGGTGTAGAATGGCTGGAATTGTTTACGACCAGTGATAACGATGCAATCGAGGCGTTGAATAAAGCTGAGCGAGTACGGAAATGCAGAAAACAGATGGAGATTGAGGAGAATAAAAGGCTGGTGATACTGGCTATCGATGAAGCCAGGTCACTCCTCGTGAGGACTCGCTGTGGCCATAATAAGCTCCGTATGCTGCAACGTGCGCTAAAGAGTGCAAACCAAGGCATCCAGAGATACCACCCAAATGCTGGGGTGTTTGCTGTCTTGGTCGATACAAACCCAAAAATCTCACAGCCGAAAGCATCATCGGGACGGATTTCGGTGCCACCCGACGATAGCGATGCTCAGTTTCCTTCGTTTGTGCTTGGGCATACGATGGATGTCTACTGGAAGGATGTCGTGAAAATGAACAAAACTTCTGCTTACAAAGATGCCGTGTGTATTGGTGACAAGAATGAGGCCTGGAAGTATCTTGTTTCGATGGGTCGACCGCTCTGGAAGAGCACATTTGACGCGTCAATGAAGAAATACAACAGCGAAGTAAAAGCGGCCGAAAGAGTCCTCCGTCTTGCAGCGCAGAGAATGTTACTAGGAAGAGACACTCTTTCCCTGATATGTTACGATGAAACGACAATGTTTGGAGTGGCTTCAATGCTGTGTCGACTTGGATTGCGTCCCCATTCGAGCTCGTCCCTGGCGCCTCGCGTCGTTGCCGACTTGATGGCGATTCTAGCTTACCTGAATTATGAAAGTGATGGATGTTTGAGTAGTTTTTCGTCGGATCCGGTGCTGGCGCTGGGAGCGACGAAGGTGTGGTACAACTGTAAGCCTGCATTGGCGAATTGTATTCTGCCGCAGCTCAAGAAGTTGCTTCTGAACGAGATGCTGGATACTTGTGGTGTTGACGAGGTAATTGCTCGCATTGTTCTGCTTCTCGTGATGGATTCTTGTGTGGTAGAAGCTGAAATCTCAACACAAAAGCATTGTAATTGCCCGTTTATGGGCCAATTCGTAAGTCTAGAACTATTCATCAAAGCACTAGTTGGTCCTGACCCGATATTAAAGAAGAGGGGACAACCAACAGACGATGCGAGAGCAAAGGCTTCTTTCCTAAACTGGAAGTCTAAGTGGGCAGACTGGCAGTTGGGGTTCTGCCATTTCGTTCAGCTATTCTCCGAGCCAACAGAGGATATGCTGTGGGTGTTATTGGGACGTCGAGCCGGTGGGGTTTTCCCTCGTAACCAAAGTTGCGTAGATTTCGTGATCCCAATTTTTCACTGTGAAAAGCGAGAGGCGTCATTGATTCTAGTTCAAGTGAAGGATACCATAGATTACGCCGGCGAAACGATAGTGTCTTATCCTTGCAAAGTGTTTTCTTCGGGAAATACATTGAGCGAAAAATTACCCTGTGACGTGGTCGGTATTTGCATGAGTGTGCGAGAGCTACACGACCCGTTTATTCAATACGAGAAGGTGGCTGTAAGTGCAGTCGAGGAGAGGAAAGACCAGACTAGCAGCGACCCCATTTTCACGGAAAAATGTAGCGTTTCTATAGCACCAGCAACGCAGGTTGTGTCCAATGAGCAGAGAAAACACGGGAATCAACTTCACGACCAATCGCCGACCAACGCCGCGGCTGTAAAAACTGTGAATGCGTTCACGCTTTGTTTTGGTTCGTTGCAGCCTTGGTTGCTTTCAAAGAAGAAAATTGGAGATACGCTGCTACCTGTTGTTCCTGATGCCACTGCTATTATGAGCAAACTGGCCGAGATGGCTTCGCCTCTTTGGGACCCCGTTGCTCTTGTATGCGGTGATTTAGACTACAGAGCAGAAGTGGAGATGAAACACTGCGTTGAACCACGAGTATCCCAGGAAATGCCGGATGAAACGTTACTGAGTATCTCGCGGCAAGCACTTTTGCACGCGACGTTTGGTGGTTCTGTAAAAGGTGATGGGAAGCGGGCATCCATCTAAAGTTTGTGTTCTCGGGGCAAAGGACGCACGAAGTCACGAAAAGAGTCGTAACTCGACCGTTATTTCGAGCATGTCCACCGTGGATGGACGGAAGCGCATCTTGCTTTAGAAGCTACAGTTAATTGCCAACAATTGAAACACTGTGAGAGCGAGAAAATTAAAAACAAGGTCTCTATCGAGAAAAGGAAAAAGACGGATGCTCAATCCTTGCCTGATTTTACAGGCGCACTTCGAAGTACTTGTCGCCGACAAGAGCGTAGGATACGATTTAATTGGAGCGACAACACAACACTAGAGGTGAAAATTATAGTTGGTTAAATAGACCCCATAAAGAAACGTTAAGCCTAAATTACGTTTAACCATTCCTGTAATCATCGTTACACTATCAAAATTTGATAAACACCTCAACAACACCAAGGTGCATTATCCAAATGCTTTAATCATAACTGGCGTGTCTAATGCACTTAATGCAACAAAATGTTTAAAATTAAATATTATTTTAGCTTTCATTGAGGTTGGAATGAGAGGTGATCAATCTTTACTTACTTACAAGATTAAACAGGTAGTACTGTACAAGCGGGTAGTAGTCAAGCTACGCCAGTACGATCTTTTGTGTTGATGTGAGCTAAGTTTCATGGCTCAGAAACGGCCCGTGGCATCGAGCACGACGCTAAGCTAAACATATTGTGTAGCGTTTG